CATCATTGGTAATATTATTGTTTTAGTGTTTATGCAAACAAAAAGTCATTTTATTTATTGTTTGTTGATTTTAAATACAAAACCTGATGAAATGATTTATGTGTCAGCACTTTTTGAACATGTCCAGCACATTTTAACAATTTAGGTCACTATAATCGCGATAAGAAATTTTGATACTGTTACATCTCTAATATGTATATATATATATATATATATATATATATATATATTTACTTTTAATTATTGAAAATATAAAAAAAATGTTAATAATAAAGTATTTATGATTTTTTAAATTATTTTTCACTTATTTTTCAGTTATTAGATTTATGAATAAAATATAATAAATAACAAATATAAAACTATTTTATATATGAATTCTACTCACTAAAAATATGTTTATCTCATTTGTGTGCAGCAGTTACCACATAAAATAAATAAATAAAGTTTCAGTTTGTTTTATTTTAAAAGCTATTTTGTTGCGTTTTGGTGTATTTGCATGAGCTGTCAGGCAGCAGTGTTGCCAAATCCACATTTTTTTCCACGTTTTTGGGCTACTTTGGGGCAATGTTTGATTAACAGTTGGTGGGGTTTTGTTACGAAGATTGACACACTTTGTCGAAGGGGAACGAAATCGACTGCTTCACCTGCTCAACATCATGATGTCTGTCAGCCATCGGCCCAAACCTAACTTCCAGAATTATAACAAATATAAAACTATTTTATATATGAATTCTACTCACTAAAAATATGTTTATCTCATTTGTGTGCAGCAGTTACCACATAAAATAAATAAATAAAGTTTCAGTTTGTTTTATTTTAAAAGCTATTTTGTTGCGTTTTGGTGTATTTGCATGAGCTGTCAGGCAGCAGTGTTGCCAAATCCACATTTTTTTCCACGTTTTTGGGCTACTTTGGGGCAATGTTTGATTAACAGTTGGTGGGGTTTTGTTACGAAGATTGACACACTTTGTCGAAGGGGAACGAAATCGACTGCTTCACCTGCTCAACATCATGATGTCTGTCAGCCATCGGCCCAAACCTAACTTCCAGAATTGAATGATCAATCATTTTCTGAAGGTTAAAAACCTCCTTTTTTGACTGACTATTTGTTGAAATAAAAAAAAATAAAAAATGAAGAGTTCAGACCATATTTTGTACCCTATTTGTGAAAATTGCCCATAAGTCATTTAAAACATTTGAAAGCATACAGATAAGAAAATGCCAATGTAGATGCAATACTGACTAAACTCATGTAAATAACAACAGCAGCAATATCCCAAAACACTCACAAAATAAACTCCAGACAAACAGCCTCTGCAACTCTATCATCTCTATTGACGAGAGTGCGGCTGCCGTTTATGGAGGCCGGTGTTCAGTTTCTTGAGTTTGGTGACACGAGGCGCCGAATTAGCAGCAGAGATCTGGATTTGAGCCTCACAGATCCAATCAAGCATCATGTGCAATTCATTTCCACCTCTGTAAGAGCAGCACGAGCGCTCAGGAGCTCAGCGTAATGCACACGAGCGCATCGGGTTGCAGAAACCCAGAGACATTTCTCATGCTGCACATAAACCATCCCAGTGATTAAATCTGTGCAACTGCTCCAGTTTCCTATCGAGCAACCAGCAAAACTCCATATCAAAGAGAGGGTTGACTGAGTTTATTAATACGACTGATGAGTGCTGATCTGAAAAAACAACAACTCTTAAATAAAACAGACCTAAAAA